GCGGGCTCTTTCCACCTTTCTTTCTCATCCCCTCCGGAAATCCTGCGGGCTCTTTCCAACCTTTCTTCTCGGGCTTCTAACCTCTTTCGTCTCTCCGCAAGTGCCACTCCACCTGTATCTTTCTTCCAAGTGCAGCAACTTTAGGGTGTCTTTTATTTTATTTGGAGTCGTTTGTAAGAGTTTAAGTTATTAAAATCAACGTTTGTAGTTTTAATTTCCGCGGCTTAGTCTTATTTAAGTTATCTCTCCTTTTTTCTCGTCCCTTATTCTTTTATATAGTCTGTCCCTTGTTTTCTTTTTGTGATCGAAGAATATAGGGTCCCCTATATTTTTGGGTCGCATCAGCCCTCCTCTGAGGAGGAGGGACATCCTTTGTAATCAATAATAAATATTAGTGGATTCATTCAAGATGGGATAGGCCTTTTGATTTTTTCTCTTTCCAGGCTTTCCACGTAAAAATTTTTCTGTTCTTATTAATTTTGTACACAGCTAAGATGTGAAACATATACTCTGCTGACTCAAATTTTCTAGCACACAACAGTTTGATGCTGTCTGTGGAAAATAATTCTTAGCTTATGGGGGGGGGGAGACTTATGCAATTTTGTATCGCCCCTAAAGTATCAACCAATGTTGCATCAATTTTGTGGAAGCAAATTTGGATTTTTTCATTTGCTGTAATTTCAAATGTGACTATAGTAAAAAAAAGTCCTCTAATATTTTCAACTTCTCAGACAATGTCATTGACAACCAATTTTCATAAAGCTCACAACAAATGTAAGGATGCTTCAAGAAAATTTTAAGCTCTATGCAGTCTTCAGCTGGACTTCTTGGGCAATGTCTTAATCAACATTTTAAAAGGCGAAATCGGGAATCGAGGCGTTTTGGCTAAGCGAGGCGAGGCGTAAGCCTAAAAAATTATAAAAATAAAATAATTTAAAATTATGAATAATGACAAAAATGTCAAAAAATAACAAAATATTACGTCAATTGTGAATTTGATGATTTGTTCTAAGATAACATTTGTATATTAATGGAAAAGAAGATTTAAAATAAACTCACTTAAAAATAAAACATCTCTTTATGATCAAGACCTAATGCAGGCTCATCATCACTTTGATTTTCTTCAGAAGAATCTTCATAATTAATATCAAAGTCATTCTCAAACTCTTCTTCATCTATAATATTTTTTCCTTTATCCCCTATATCAGTTAATATTTCGTTAGCTCTAGAATTAAACAATAATAACATAAAAAAATAATTCATTATATTTAAGAATACCTTTGAATTTTTTTGAAGCTCCAATTTCACTTTGTTTCTTTCTTTTATATACATGAGTAGTTGCTTCACTGTCTTCATTGACTTGAGTTTCTCCTTCTACTTCAACTTCAGAAACATCAACATTCTTAAGAGTTACCCATTCATTATCAGATTGTAAATCATCAACAAGTAAAGGGTCAATTTCATTATCAATGCTTCCTTGCTTCTGTAATTTGAGATGTCTTTCTTTCAGTTTTTTGTTAAACATAACATAAACAAGTTTGTTCATTCGATCTGTGGCCAATCAATTTCTTCTCTTAGTGTGAATTTGATTGAAGATGCTCTAATTACGCTCGCATGCAGAAGCCGAACATGTTAGACTAAGAACTTTAACTGCAAAAGCTTTCAATTCAGGAACATCATCTCTAAACTGACTCCACCAACGTTCTACATGAAAATGAAAAATATTTTATGAATATTGAATGAAGTATAAGACTTGAACATAAATATTAAAATTAAAATTATAAACATACCAGGAGATCGTGTTTTGTAGCATGCTTGTGCTGCTCTAAATCCAAACACTCCCTTCTTCAGATGAAATTCCTCAAGTTGATCATTCACTTTGAGGTAGTCTTCTTCAGAAATGAGTCTGTCCATATATGTATACAAACAAGTTTTCATCTCTTTATCAACATTGAAGTCTTTATCATAATGAAATTGAGGGTTTAAATAGTATGCAGCCAGCAGCATGTAGTGTTGGTGTAATTGACGATCCCACTTTTCATCTATAATATCCCATATTTCTTTGTAGGTACTTTCTTGACCTCCCAAGTCTTTTGCAATATCTTCTTTAGCCCTATTTATTGCTTCATAAATAAATCCCATAGCCGGGGCCCTCTCACCATCAACTATTCTAAGCACCTTAACTAATGGTGTTGTTGTCTTCAAAGCATAATTTGTACTGCGCTAAAATGAATCATCTTTCATAACAATTTTTTTTTACCTGTTTTTCTTCTTGTTTTTTTGCCCATGAACTTTTATCCCATTCTTCAGAAGCAAACATAACTTTCAAAGGTTGCCTTAACACCTTGAATCTCTGCAATGTTAAATATGCAGTAGCAAATCTTGTAACAGTAGGTCTATATGCAAGCCTCTTAACGCCACCAGTTATACGTTTCTCACAGAAATTACATTTCATGTAAACATATCCCTTCTTTGCACCTTCGCCAGACACTTCAACTTGAGTTCCATATTTCCATGCAGGATCTTTCCTTCTTGTACCACTAGTCATATTAATAATAGGACAGATTTTAACAATTATTTGTACTATCAATAATAAAACAACATGAATACAAAAATGTACCAGTCTGCCGGGGGTCCAAGGGGGCGCTGCCCCTGGCGGGGTTTGACCTGTTGTATATGCTCAATACAACATTTTATTATAAGAGTAATTTTGAAATTCTGCTTGTTGTATATGCTCAATACCGAGCATGTACCGCTCAGTACCGAGCATATACTGCATGGTACCGAGCATGTACCGCTCAGTACCGAGCATATACCGCTCAGTACCGAGCATGTACCGCTCAATACCGAGCATGTACCGCTCAATACCGAGCATATACTGCTCGTTACCGAGCGTGTACCTAGTGGTACCGAGCATGTACCGCTCAATACCGAGCATATACTTGCTCGGTACCGAGCGGTGCTGGCTCGGTACCGAGTATGTACCTAGCAGTACCGAGCATGTACTGAGCAGTATCGAGCATGTACTGAGCGGTACCAAGTTTGTACCTGCTCGGTACCGAGCATATACTGAGCGGACGAATGAAAGAAAGCCGAATCAGGAGTTATTCAAGCTTTTGTTACTGCACCTCAAAGTCAAGACCACAACACCGCTCACATGCTCTTCCGACCTAACCGAGGCCTGAACGTTTCCTGCACTCACAACTTCGGCTTCGTTTCCTGCTTTCGAAACCGTTATTGCTTTTGAATTCATTTCATGCGTCATCTCCTTCTGACTTCGTCTCCTGCACTCACGGCTTCGTCTCTTTCCCTCACGGCTTCCCCTCTAGTTCGCCTTTCAATTCTCACAGGAAGCCCTAATTCTATACGCGAATACACAAACACGAATCAGCTGCGTCGTATTTACATATATACCGAAGAAAAAATTTCGAGGCGGTGCCTCATACCGCCTCGAGGCGTTACGCTCTAATGCGTACGCCTTGTGCGAAAAAATCGTAGGCTTCATTGGATGGTTCGAGGCGTAAGCCCTGATACGCATGACTTCCGCCTCGACTTGAGGCGCGACTCAATGCGGATGCCTCGTCCGCTTTTTTAATGGTTGGTCTTAATTTCGACCTTGAAAAGGCAATAACGTTCTAAAGAAAGATTAATTTTTACATTTGAGTCGGGATACACGCGACATTCTCCCCCACCCAATCAAAGTATAATCAAACCCAGGGGGATTTGATTTGACTTCTTTCACACAGGTTAATATTATTGAGTCTTGCTCTGATAAACAACCTCGGATATGTCAAACATCTTTGGTGGATTCTCTCAGCCTCTTTCGCACATGTTAACATCATCGAACAATGCTCTGACAAACAACCTTGGATAGATCAAACATCCTTGGAGGATTTTCTCGACTTCTTCAACACATGTTAACGTCATCGAACAATGCTCTGACATTCAACTCTTTTGTTGTTCATTTCTGGAAAAAAATCTAAAAATCCTTTTGGTTGAATTGGGATTTTTTATTTGTTTTCATCAAAAGTAACAAATAGTTTAAAGTTTAGTAGCTTGTTTCCTATGAGTGTTTCTTGTTTGATGCTTTGATTGAACTCATCTAATTCTATATTTTATGCTTGATGTATATTGGAAACCCAAGACCCTAAAATGCCCGACATCATTGTACTTTCCCTTTTCATGTGGTTTTTGACATGTGATCTCTTCCAGCTGACTTGGGTGAAATTTTTAATCTTTTAGGTTGTACACTTGATCTTATCATGGCACATGTATAGCTGAAACTAATACCATGATTCTAGTTTTTGTTGCTTAATATTAGGACCCACACCTCTGTAAATTATACCAGCATTGATGTTTACTATCCACGGGTGACTTTATACAACATAAAACTTTTAAGAATATAGATATTGCGAACCATAACTTTATCATCTAAGGGGTTCATTTGCATAGAAAGAGAATATTCTAGCACTTCTTGCAGGTTATTTATGTGTGATCACGATCTTTTATTTATCTTTTTTTTTTTCTCTTCCATTTTTGTGGCTGTAGCCTGTATGGCTCTGGGGAAGTAGCCTTGATCACTTAGTTTTTTTTTCTCCTGAATGTGACGTTGTAAGGCAGAATTATTCAACTACTTAGCATAAGCGTACTTATGCATCAGACCATTTCTTTCTATATACTTGGTTTAGGTATTATCCTTCTATCAATTTTGAACTGCTGATAAGCTTCTGTTCATTCACATATTTTTGTGATTGTAATGTTGAGATTTAGTGGTAAATAAATTTATAAATTTTCTCAGACTTGTATGTTTGTTTGCAGTTTCTGATTTTATTTCTCATTATTTTTTTGTTATATTTATTTTTTTTATTAAAAAGCCAGGTGCTTACCCTTCACATTGAATTAAAAGAAAATATATGCAACCTTAGGCAAAAAATCGAAAGCAAAGAGAAGGTTGACTTTCTCTCTCTTAATTGAATGGTACTTAATTGCATCACTCACAGGTTGATGGGCGCATAGGATTGGCCGCAATGTATGGTTCAGGATGTTGGGCATCATCAAAAGATCCATTTGGAGCTGCATTTAATGTTGGTTGTTGTGCCACTGGTGCTGGGGAGAATCTTATGAGAGGTTTTGCTGCTCGTGAATGCTGCTTATCATCATCATTGTATGAAGCACTTTACACCCAAATTCTTATCGAGTCCTGTTGAATGCAAACTCTAAACCCTCTCATTGAACATGAATTTTGGATTGATGATATGGTTATCTACTCATTTATTATAATTATTTTTTTTCATATTGAACAAGGCTTGGCTCGAAGTCTGCCATGATGTGATATGCGAAGAATGGCATGCTTCAAAATATATATGCTAGGGGTGTGAATTAGTTGGAAATAACTAAAAGTCCGAACTAATTTAATTATTATGCCAATAGGCTTTTGCTTTGGTACATGGAAATTGGTTCAGTTCTTTGTAGCCAGTCAATTATGCCAAATAAAAACCACCCCCCCCCCCCCCCCCCCCCCCCCCCCCCCCCCCCACACACACACACACACACACACACCAATTGAGTCCTAAATCTTGAATTCAATTTAATACTAAAACATTGATTGATTGGAACAACAAATTCAACATCCAGCCTGACGTCGGTCTGAATTGGACTGGGTCCAACCGTCCAACACTTGCTACAAGAGCTGGTTCACCCCAAAACCGAACCCTTCAGATTCAGCCATTTGCAACAATGCAGAACTTTTGGGGTTTTTCAGTTTTTTACTTGTTTATTTTCTTTTAGAGTTTGTTTCAATTGTATTAATAGGTCGGTAGGTTTGCAAATTGGGTAGTGAATAATAAAGGAGTTTTCTCTTAGCTCGTGTTTCCTATATTCTGGTGTACCTCCACTAGGTGGTGGCCTTTTCCTTGTGTTTCTGCATTCAGGTTCAGAGGTTTATCGGCCTCTTGTTGTTGGTTCTAGCAACCAGGCCTCTTGTTGTTGGTTCTGGCTACTGGTCGTAGCGGCTCTTTCCTTGTTGATTCTTGAGCTAAGTTTTTGATTTTCAACAACATGATTTCAGCTGATATCAGAGCCCATTTATTAGGAATGCCGCCAAGAAGGGTTAACCAATGACCCATTCAAGAAAATATTATTGAAGAGCTACAAAGGGAAATTTCAATTCCAAGAAAGGCTTGCTGAAATCGAAGTTAGTTATCCTATGGATCACCGAAATGGATTGGAGGAATAACATCATGAAGAAGAGGAAAATCTCTTTCATCTAGAACTTTATAGCGAGGAGGACGATCTGCTACTTCGCTACTATCATTGAGAGCCAAGAAAACCCCCTCCCGATTTCAAAATCAAGATGGATATTCCGAAATTGGAAGGTCGGTTGGATCCGAATGAATTCATCAATTGGCTACATATCGTTGGGTGAATTCTTGAATACAATGAGGTACCTCTGTAATGCAATGTCAAGTTTGCCATTAAGGTAAAGATCAATGCCTTGTTATGGTGGAAAAAGTTGAAGCATTCGAGGACGAACCAAGATCACTTCTTGGGCCAAGATGAAGAAGATCCAGCAAAAATTCTTAGTGGAACATTATTCTTAAGATATGTTTCTTAGATTACATAACCTTAAATATCAAGTTTTTTCGTTAGAAAATTTTGTTGCCGAATATGAACAATTGGGGCTGAAATGTCATGGAGCCAAAAGAGCTCATGATCGCTTGTTTTCTTGAAGGACTGAACCTATCCAACACCAATGTGGTCCAATTACAATCTTATTGGACATTTGCTGATGTAATTAATTTAGCCCTCAAGGTAGAGAAATAGCTGCGACAAGGTAAAAGGAAGACAACAATAGTAGAAGGGCCGAGCAGTACAAGCAAAAAACCTGCACGGCTGCACCTTTGGCGAGATGGTGAAAGAAACGGCTTCAGTTGCTGCCAATCAGAACTAGGGGCGGACCCTTCTAGACTAGATTACATGACTTGCAGCCCGCAAATGTTTTAGATGCCAAGGTTTTAGACACATCGCATCCAACTCTCCTACTCGTTGATTGGTTACATTGTTGGAGGAAATACTGCAGTAAACACTAATTTCACAAGAGCTAGCAGTCAAGAAGACGGTGGAACACGTCTTGCAAGATTTTGGAAGGCAAACTCTTAGTGGTTTGACGCCTCTTGAATATTCATTATGAAAAAGAGCATGAATGACTGCGTCATAATATTCTTTGCACAAGATGCGCTGTACAAGGCAAGTTTCGTTGCCTTGTAATAGATGGTGGAAGTTTCGAGAATGTGATACCCAACCTTATGTTAGAACAATTGAAATTGTCTACTACCCCACTTTCGAAACCATACCAATTGGCATGGCTAAAGAAAGGCAACGAGACATATGTCAACAAGAAATGCTCGATCCAGTTTTCTATTGGAGGAATTTTTCAAGAAAAGGTGTTGTGCGGTGTGGTTCCCATGGAGGCTTGGCATATCCTCTTAGGGAGGCTTTGACAATTTGAATGCAAGACCACCCATGATAGGTTCCACAATACGTATTCACTGCATAATAATGAGAGGTTTGTAATATTTTGCCTTTAAAAGAAAGGTCCACGATTGAGCTTTCAAGTTAGGTAATCGAGTCCCAGTTTATATTCATGCATTCCCTACGGGAGGCCCATTACGGAGCGTCGCTAGTTATAATGGAACTTTAGAAGAAAATCCACCCCAAGCTACACCTCCTGCGACATTCCGAGGGTTTAAAACATTCAATGCTATTTTTCTCAAGGCTATTTCTGCAGGCTTGCCTTCTATATGTGACATTCAACACACCATTGACTTCATTTCTTGATCAGTAATTCCCCATAGAATGGTGTATTAAATGTCTTAAAGAATATGAAGAATTACAATGACTAGTTTGATGAATTGCTAGTTAAGGATTTTGTGTAGCCCAATGCACGCCCTTGCCAAAAAAGGGCGGTTCATGGAGAATGTGCATCGACAGCCGTTCTGTGAATAAAATAAACTTGAACTGCTAGTTTTCCCTTCCACGAGTGGACGATCTATTTGATCAGTTAGGCAAGGCCACTTATTTCTCAAAAATAGACTTGCTAATCGAATATCATCAAATAAGAATGGGATTAGGAGAAGAATAGAAAATAGCTTTCAAGGCACATGATGGCTTGTATGAGTGGACCGTCATGCCATTCAGACTTTCATGCGATTAATGAAGTAGATATTTCTATCTTTTTTGGGAAGATTTGTTGTCTTTTATTTTAACGACATCTTGGTGTATAGTCCCACGGTGGAAGAACATATTCAGCATCTTTGACGAGTATTTGAGATATTACAAGAGTAGTGTTCTTGACCAATACCGCCAAATGCAAATATCTAGTTACCACTATTAAATTTTTGGTTTCGTGGCCTCTTTAAGATGCATAGAATTGGATCCCATCCCGATAAGGTTGCAACTATTTAGGAATGGCCCACACCTTTTTCCTTTATCAAAGTAAGGAGATATGGACTGGCATCCTTTTACTGTCGCTTTATTAAAAATTTAAGTTCAATGGTTGTACCTTTAATTGAACTTCTTAAGAAGCCTTAATTCACATGGTCCAAGGCTTCACAAGTCAACTTTGGCAAATTAAAGCTCCTAGTGACCTCGACATCCGTACTAGCCCTACCAAACTTTTTCCAAATCTTTTAAGTTGAATGTGATGCTTCAAATATCGACATTGGAGTAGTTTAAGTCAAGGATGCCATCCAATAGCTTACTTCAGTGAAAAATTGAACGAATCTTGCCAACGCTATTCCATTTATGTCAGAGTTTTATGCTCTTGGTCGGGCTTTACAACATTGGAGTCATTACTTGCTAGCATATGAATTTGTTTTATTTTTTAGATCATGAAGCCTTTAAGCATCTTCATAATTAAGGAAAGCTAAAGGGAAAACATGCCAAGTGGATGGAATACTTATCACTTTTCCATTAAACTTTGCGGCACAAATCCGACTACACTAACCAAGTGGCAGATGCCTTTAGCCATCGCGGCATCTCCTTAGCTTCCTCAAAACCCTCCAACTAAATATCGTTTGATCGATGCTATTCAAGATTTATACGCACATGATTGCTCAATAGATATGGGAATGATGTTGGCATCACACTAATAAACTTTTTCACATCAAACACAACTTCCTCTTTTTTAGGTAAGCGATTGTGCATTCCACGATGTTCCATGCATGAGGTTTTAATATATAAGAGCCATGATGGAGATTTAGCTGGCCACTTTGGCCGTGATAAAACATTGGCAGTCATCCAGAAAAATTTATACTAGCCACTACTTATTAGAAACGTGGAGAGATATATTAAAAAGTGTAGTACATGTTGTATAGATAAGAGATAATGTATAAATACTATTGGTATAATGGATTATATTTGTCATTGCTAGTACCAGAGTCGTATTGGGTTGATGTCAGTATAGACTTCGTGGTGGGACTATTGCCTACACAATGACAAGGTTTTTGTTATGGTGACAATTAACCATTTTTCAAAATGACGTATTTTGAGCCGTGTCGAAAAACTCCAGATGCGTCTCATATTGCCATTCTTTATTTCCAAGGGAGAGTTCGACTTCACAGGATTCCTTTAACTATCACGTTTGATAGAGATGTTAAAATTTTTAGTCACTTTTGGAGAACTTTATGGGCGAAAATGGGTACCGAACTACAATTTAGATCTATTGCTCGTCCATATATTGATGGACAAACAAAAATCATGAATAAGAGCGTCAGGAACCTCTTAAGGTGTTTTATTGGCAAAAACATTTGTTAGTGGGATCTTATCTTATACCAAATCGAGTTTTCTTACAATCAATCATGGTACCATTCTACAAGATGAAGTTCCGTTAAGGTAGTCTATGGACGAAATCCTATTGCCCCACTAGGTGGAAGGTGGGCAAGGAGATAGGGGGGTTAAAGGGGGATTAATTACTTACCATATAAGACCAAAATTGGCAGGGGGTTATAAATATTTATTTAGGAAAAGATGACTGATTTGATTGGAAGGAAATTATGAAGGTTTGTTTAGGAAAAGATGGCTGATTTGAATTCAAATTTGGGAGGGAATTTTGAAGGTTTATTTAGGAAAAGTGGGCTGATTTGAATTCAGATTTAGGAGGGAATT